CACAAACTGACATGACGGTGCTTTGGGGTTACTATTTATAGTGTGGTTAACACCTAAATTGCAACATAACTATAATATTGGGGGCAGGAGGAGCACTATGTCATGCTTACATTTGTTTACCTAAACTGATGTCAAATAACACCTCTTAATAAAAATGCAACTTTTTGTGTACATCTGCCCTTGCTCTGGTGTGGCTTTAGTTGTCTTTTAATTTCACTACTGCATCCAATAGTACTAGTTTAATAAAGGACCCACCTCTAGCTGAACTCAATCTTGGGAGTTAGGAGTAAAATGATTCTCTACTAAGAGTTTACTAAACAAGATCATAGGAAAGTAGGCTTGGAAGGGACCTCACAAAGTCATCTAGTCCAGCCCTCTGCTCATGGTAAGATCATCCCTGACTAGACCATCCTGCCAAGTGTCTGTCTAATCTACTCTTGAAAGCTTCCAAGGATGAAGATACAGCAACTTACCTAGGTAGCCTGTCCCAATCTTTGACTGCTGTCATAGGCAGTTCTTCCTAATCTCTGACCTAAATTTCCCCATCTGAAGCTTGAGGCCATGGAAAAAAAAACATCTCTGCCTTCTATAATTGGGCTTCAGGTATTTGAAGGCTGTTATCAAATCCCTCCTGCCTCAGTTTTCTCTTCCCTAGACCAAATAACCCTAGTTCTTTTAGTCTTTCCTTTTAAGTCTTGCGTCCAAGGGCCCTAATGATTTTTATTGTTGTGTGGGAACGTTTTCCAAGCTGTTCAGATCCTTCCTGAAGTGTGGGGCCCAAAACTGGATGCAGAACTCCAGATGAGGCCTTGCCAGTACTGAATATAGTGGAAGAATCGCTTTCCCTGATTTACAAGTGATTTTCCTGTTAATGCAGTGCAGTGTGTTTTGGGGCTTTTTTTGTAATGAGTGCATTGTTGGCTCATATTCAGCTTATGTAGCCCCCAGGTCTTACTTTGCAATCCTGAACCTTTGCCGGTTATTCCCCTGTCTGTATTTGTGCATGCAATTATTCTATCCTAAATAGAAGACTTTGCATTTGTTCTTTGTTGAAAATCATTTGATTGATTGTAGACCATTTCTACAGTCTATCTGGATCAGTGTGGATCCTAGCCATACCCTCTGGAGTACCTGTAACTTCACCAAGTTTGGTATTGTCTGCAGATTTGCTAAGCATGCGCTTAGTCCCATCCTCCAAATTGGGGCTTGGCAATTATTTGGGCCAGAGGACCACTTAGGGAGTTTTGGTGAGCTGTCATGGGCTAGGTCAGCACCTTCTGTCCCCTAGCCCACAACAGCTCACCAAGACTCCCTAAGTGGCTCTCTAGCCGAAATAATCACCCACCTGTGATCTAAGGGCAGAAAGGTGAGTGGACAAAGGTTAGGGAAACCTAACCTTTGTTTCTTCCCTTCCCCCACCCTGAGTTCCCAGCACGTGGCCGGGCTGGGCCAGTGCTGCACTGGGTTTCTGCTTCAGGCCACGTGGTTTATGCAGCTAGCATAAGTCCTGCCCGACCTGGTCGAGTGCTGGGGACTTGGGGTTGGGCAGGAGCCACTCCAGTTGTGCCCATGTGGCAGAAACCAAAGCAGTGTGTGGGAACACAGTGCGGCATTGCGTTAGTGGCATCCGTGCCTCTACCAGGCCCTGGCCCAGGAAGCCCAGATGAGCCAGGAACTGTGGGTTTCTTCCTCCCTGCACTCCTCCCCTCTCCAGTGGGAAGATCCTTACCTGAGCTTCAACTCGCCGTGGGTTTGCTGTCTGGTCTGCAGATGACCACAGGATTGGAGCTGCATGCAGACAGCCTCACTAGGTAGAAGCCTGGCCAGGAACTTAGCACCCCTTGCCTTGGAGCATACACCGAGGACTTGTTTTTGTTTGGTTTTGGTTTTGCTGTGCTTTTATTCCTCTTTTAACTGCAGATTTTTTCCTTTTGTTAAAGTTCAGTCTTAAACAATCCTTGTATTTTAAATGCTATTTCAAGGCTGCTTAAGAAATTGTTCTTTAACTTTTTAGAATTTCATTTCAGATTTTGCATTTTCCAAAGTTTAAAAAGAACCAAGACAAGCAGCTTGATTTTTGGTTTGTTTGTTTTTTTAAATTGGTTTAGACACATATCTAACCCATGGGTAGCCAACGTTTTTTGACCGGAGTGCCGAAGAAACCACAATGTCTACCTTGGAAAATGCCGGAGTGCCGGCATGCCAGAAAAACAAAATGGGGGGAAGGGGGAGGATTACATGGCAGGATGCACTGCATATTAATAATAATTAATAATTATAAATGTTACCTTTTGTTGTGTATTCCTTTTTTTTTTGAGCATGTTGCAATGAGAGAGCGAGAGAGACAAAAAGAGACAAATAAGAGAAACAGGAGAGAGAGAGAGCGAAAGAGAGAGAAAAAGGAGATCAGAGAGAGAACCAGACACATGCACACAGAGAACCATGTGCACAAACACAGAGAACCAAAACACACCCAGAACAGACGCATGCACACATCCAGAACCACACGTGTGCACACAGACACGCAGAACCAGACGGAGGCAGACAAACTCACAGAACCAGTTGTGCAGGTGCACAGAGCCAGGCTCCTGGGCCACTGGACAAGGTCTGACCCAACAATGTCCTGGTCCCGCCAGAGCCCCTGTGCTTCCCCGGGGAGCCAGGCCCCAGGCTGCAGCACACCTGGC